TCCCCAGCCAGCTTTTCTGGCTTGGGGAATTTGGGGGGTGAAGTCCACACATCTTCAAGTTGCCAAGATTGAGAAACACTGAATTAGATACTTCTACTATCAAAGCAGCTTTCATTTCTGATGATCAGCCTCTCCTTGTATGGTAAGACTATGTGCCTTCCATCAGCCTGAGAACCACGCTCAACTTTACGCAGCGTATCAAGAGCGCTGCTCCAAAAGTCAGCCTGTCCAGGACGATGGGGCCATTTAGGGAGTGAAAGGAATGTTTTAAAACTGCACAAGCTTAATGCACCTCCAGAATTTTCAAAAATGCCAAAAAGAATTGCATTTTTGGCCACATCCAACTGGGGAGCTACAAAAGAGATGTTGGGAAATTGCAGAATGCACTTTCTGCACGTGAAATCATAATATTCCAAGTTTGTAAGGATGATTGAAATAATGTAAAATACTTCACTGAGGGTATTCTGAATCTTTTCTGTCTAGGATGTCATAGGCTGTAATTCCAGCTAATCTTCCCATAGGTGGAACAGAAGAATTGAGACTCAGTACACCAATTTGATATATTAAGTAAGATTAAGAAGGGGAAAAAATGTAATCCTGGGGGAGATGGGTGGCATATAAATTAAATAAATAAATAAAATCAATAATCCTAACAATTCTGAAATATAAACTGAGTTTTAAAACAACTCTGGACCATAATTCTTATGATTGCACTGCTAGTGCAGAGCATTCAGGATTTAGACTCTAAAGAGTTGGAGAATCTAAACTTGAATTTAAAATGAGATTGGATCAGTAAATCATATTTGATTACATTTTAGGCAGTGGGGTTGCTAGGACTTGAGGATAGAAGGAACCTAGCTCAGCGATGGTGGAATAAATTGGGCAAAAGAATGAGGTGTCACGATCTTTAATTGGGGTTCATCTGTCATGCAATCAGCTGGAAAATTATTTATTTTATTATTAGAAGCCAGTATTGGAATGTTAGGTAGTGGGCTTCTAGTTAAAGGTATAATTGTCTGTTTTTTCCTTCCTTTTTCAAATAAATTTATTTCTAGTACATTACTGTACTGGAACAGGAAATAAAAAACAATAAATCCTACCCTTCTAATGAGCGTCAGGGGTTCTTTTTCCAGTTGTTTATGTCTTGCATTTCAAAAAAGGCACTTCAATGTTACTGAACTTTTATATGTCTGTGTTCCCAAATGCTACAAATTTGAATAACTGCAAGTTTATTTAATTGTCTGCTACTCTTGAAAAGAACAACGCTTCATGGCTTAAAATTCTGTTGTATCCTAAAAAAAGAAAAACACACAATTGGGGGAAGAAAAAAAGCGAAAATAATCTTAAACAAATGCATACATTATACATTTCTGCATGATATCAGATGGTTTGTTTGGCTCTGAAGAGAGGACATTTTTAAAAGAGATTGCATGGTCAGCATAATTTTTCCTAAGAAACGATGAGATTTCCTGGATCCCCATTTTTTTTTTTCCTTCCTTCCAATTTTACACTACTGGCAAGTCACCTTTTGTTTTTAAATCAACTATCACATACAGCCTGATTAAACATTGGTTTGTTATGGGGCACCCGTAACTGCCCTTGTTTAGGAACATAGGAAGTTTCTCAATACAGTAGTGGGAAGGACTAAGAGTGGGGAGACCCAGCCTCTAGTCTAGTGTTTCTCAACCTTGGGGACTTAAGATGTATGGACTTCAACTCCCAGAATTCCCCAGCCAGCATGGCTGGCTGGGGAATTCTGGGAGTTGAAGTCCACACATCTTAAAGTTCCCAAAATTGAGAAACATGAGTTTTAAATAATAGCAAATCTTTGCAAGATCTAGTTAAAACTAAGAAATTACATTCCAACAAGCCGAGAATCTTTTGTTAGGCTGTTAGGATGAGAATGACGGATCTCAAGCGATTCTTATTCCTTACATACAATTTCAGTTAAGGGCTATCATCATAAATATGGGGGTTACTGTTTGTTTTGTACAAGTAGGTCACGATTAGTGTGAGTTCCAATAATGCAAAATTCGATTTAGTGGGATTTATAAATTGATACCAGGTCACGTTTCATGCGAGCCTAAATTCAGTTAGTTTAAAGCTAGTGTATGCGCGGTTGAGGCTAGTACGTGGCAGTTGCCGTTGGGGTTTTAGATGTTAATCATCATTTGTGCAAACTGGAGAAAAGGAAGGTTCCTATTCAAGGAAACATCAAGAAAGAAGAGCCTGATTTTGAAGAACTACAACAGAATATAAGGGATAGCAGGTACATTTTGATATGGGTTTATCCTCTTTTACTGTTATACAGTATTTCATTAATAAACGTATTTTAAAATATTCATTTTAAATAATTAATTAAATAATTAAAATAAAAAATTTAATTGCCTATTTCTATCGAGGTGGAGCCCATTCGCCTATTTTCTATAGAAATATCACTTTGAATAGCGCGAATTCAAATAATGGGACCATTTTGGGGGATTCATTCAACGCAATAACCGAGAGCTACCTGTATATCAAAGGTATGTTACAGAGCAATTGTAATATTGCAAAGTTGTATTACAGATCCACAGGGGAGATTTTGCGATGGCTCCCTTACTACAGTTAACGTCATCCTCTCCTGTTGTTTGTGTTTTTATAGTTTTTATACTTTTAATGATTGTTTTATATGTATTTATGGGTTTTTTTAATTGAGTGTTGTATCCTGTCCAGAGTCACTTTTTTTGTGAGATGGGCGACTATATAAATATGATAAATAGATGAATGAATAATTCCCAAATGTGGTGGGCAGATCTCTGGGGGGCTGTGAAGGTATGGTGAGGGGGACCAGGACACAAAAATCTTATTCACACCCTTCTTCTAACACAACAGCTGATAATTTTCCCTGCCAGGGTTGAGATGGGAGAGAGAAATATACTAATAAGGTCTAGGAGAGAGACTGAAAGGAACCTACACATTTTTTCCAGCAAGGGTGTGTTCCTGCCTCCAGCTGCCCATTGAAAATTGGGTGGGGTGGGACAGAGCATGAATGGAAAGGGAGCAATGGTGTCACCTCCTTTTTGGACCACTTTAGCAAGTTTATTTAACTTTATTATAGGTGCCCAACTCCATGGACTCTGAGCAGCATGCAAAGTTGCCAGAAGACATCTTCCCCTCGGCTGTAGATTGAATGAACAGCTGCCCAAAAATGTCATATTATTCTGCTCGCCTACACCCGATGAGTCCCAAAGAGGACAAAACCAGTCACCTAGCGCCCGCCTCCCAGGGCCAGTGACCTTCTCTATGAGATCAGCCAAAGGCTCGATCTCTCTTTCGTGGAAATGCAGGGCCTACGATTTTGGAGATCCAGGGATCAGCTCGGCTGTGTTTACCAACCAGACCTGCTAAAGAACCAGCTGCTGTATTTGCCCAGCACAAGCAACTTGCTTAGGCTTAACCCCGATTCAGGTACATATGGCTGTAGCTTAGCATCCTGTGGAAACACTGCCTTGGTTGAGTATTTTGCAATCCAGCATTGTGGGAGAACTCAGAAAGTTGGGTTCATCCAGTAATGAAATGCATCTTGTAACACCTCCCCACGTGACTCTCCCTAATGCTACGAAAGATCATTGTCTCATCCAGGTTTGTACTATGTTTGCAGAACCCATTGAACCACAAACCATCCAAACGCATTTTGCTAGGATATGTTTTGTTTATGGAGTTTCCTACAGACTCGGAAAGCTTGGTTCAGTGCCCAGCTATGGTGGGTTAGCCATGACGGACCCATCGTGCAAACCCACCCATGATTTGATATAATAGCAGTTCTCGAGCCCTGGGAACACTCACTGCTCCTAGCTACTGCTATTAAAATATATGATAGATATGTGTGTATATATGTGTGTGTGTAACAATAAATAAATATTCTCCATTCCACACTGCAGACTGCAATCGCTACACTACCCAGCTTCAGGCCCTTCCTTCCGATATGCTTAAATTATAATTACGAAATTGCCATAATCACCATCCGACCCAGAACAAGGCACGAGTATGATTTTGAGATTTTGCTTTACATGTTCATCTGTATGTTCAGCCCAGGGCAGATAGAGGAAAACAAGCTACCAATATCAAGTTTGCCCATATATTTATTTGAGGGCAGCACCATTTATACAAACTGTGGCAGACTAGGCTTGGGAAATTGACCTTTCACCCTCCCGCATTTTTCCTAAAATCCAGATCCCTCCGGGGATCTTTTGTAGGGCAAAAGATTTTCAAGGCTGTTGAACCTGGCGGTTTCTTTTGCCTCCTGGACCTAAATCTCTCAATCCTTCCACAAATAGAAACAGGCAAAATCGCATTTCTGGTTGCGCCAAAGCTTCCATGTCAACGTTGGGGTTTGAGGTCGGGAAGGAAGTTATCTTTTGTCACTGCTTTAATGGTGAATCAAAATATTCTCCCGCTCCTCCTAGCAGTCGTAGGGAGGTAGATTATCAGAGAAGAAACCGGTCCCTTATCTGGAGGCTAATAGTGCAGTGACGGTCAGTTTGGGGTAATGGTTAAAGATGCTGGCCTAGAGACCAGGAAGAAGAAGCAACGAGAACCTACTACCCAAAATATGGTCCATGTGGTCGCCAGGAGTCAACTCAAGGTTTCATGGGAAAATCTGAAAAAAGAGAGGCTGCAGGTAGCAGCTACAGAAAAATGCTAAAGGCACAGAAAGGAAGCAAAGCATTTAAAAAAGAACACGCAAATGCAACTTGTACACCTTTATTTATCTTCAGCCTCACATCAATCCTGCGAGGTAGACCATTTCATATATGGGCAACCAAGGCTGCCTGGCAGATTGCAAGGCCACACTGGGGCATAACCTGAACCCAGAACTCCCACACCCAACTACAAGTCTCTATCCATTGGGCCACCTGACATAAGAAAATGTAGGGCTGTCATATCAGGCTTGATAATCTGTTTCTGCAGGCCAGGTATGGTAGTCCTAAGAAAAGAGCAATAAAGTTACTCAGAAAACTGACATTTAAGCCAAAAATAGGGATCTAGAATTAGATAGGACTTCATAGAGCGATTACAGAAAAGGCTTAAGCGGTTTGAACCTGTATATATCTTACTGGCAGCGACACTCACTGTATTCTACGTGGTGGGAAACAAATATAGGTTAAATTGCCCTAAAATGTATTTAAATAAATACAAAAGAAAGATCCAGCCTTGTGCATGGATTTTGGACTTTGTTTCTTCAGTGGCCAATGAAGCAAATTTACCCAATGAATCCCACAGGCATGTCAAGACAAGACATGACCGCTAGTGTTTTTGATCAAGGCAGCGAAGACGAACAAGGACCTAATCAACTCTCTCTCCTGTAGCTTTTCATTTAAAAAATGAAACGACGACGATCAGGAATTCCTTCCAGGAAAGCAAGTGGGATGACTGAGGAAGGACGGATCTCTCCATCCTCCCTCTGCTGTGTCTCTTGGTTTTCACGCTAGCCACAGAGAAAATTTATTCTCCATGATCGGCGTGGAAATGCAACGGGCAAAGTTCAACAACCAAAGAGAGATATCATGGCTGCGTTTCTACCCAAAGAGACTAGAAGCTGTTGTTTCTACGTCCATGTCTAAGCAGAAGCTTCTCTTCTGTATGGCTAGAATAGAAATCCTATTTCTATCAGGTTCAGGTTTTTTTCCTAATCACATTGAACGTTTCACAAACCTACGAGAAAACTGCTCCGATTTATCCCAGAATGGTAAAAGGAAATATCCAGGACAGGAAGTCTTCCCTTAATCAATAGAAATGGCAAAGCTGGCCAAAGATAAATGACTGCTTCAAAGACAGAAAAAGATGGTTTAGTCCCCTCCAATCCCCACCCCCCTCCCTAACCCTGGCAAATTCCAGAATCAAAAGCCAACCTGGCTGGCAGCTGGATTTAACTTCTAACCCCTTTAATGGGATAGCACATTCCACCCCGTGAGAGGCTAATTCAGGAGATACAGGATAGACTGTACATGTCACATACAGCTTAGTTCTCCAACAATCAGTACAGCATATCTGTAGAGTATAGAGCGTGTTTCTCAACCTTGACAACTTTAAGATGCGTGGACTTCTGGGAAATTCTGGGAGTTGAAGTCCACGCATCTTAAAGTTGTCAAGGTTGAGAAACACTGGCACAGAGGATGGCCTTGATGGAGAAAGGGAAGAATCTGTTACCAAGGCAACAAACAGATAAACATGGCTTAAGCCCAAACAGAGAGAGAAATTTACAAAAACATCTCAGACAGGCACCTTCCCCCCCAAATTCTCAAGAAGATAAAAGAGGGAGAGGAAGCACATTCACACTTGCAAGATTCTGCTACTACAGCCATTCTAATAAAAGTAGTTTTAGGTCTACGTGGCGTCTGTTTCTTGGTCTGGTCTACCTTGTAGGGCTGACAACGTCCAACCTGCATTTGCTATTTCACTTAACGGCAGGGCAGGTCTTGAGACAGGTTTTAATATTTCCCTTTCCCATACAATGGGGTGTTTTGATTAATAATCAACTAAATTGTCTCTACAAGAACTCTCTTCCCCCAAGAGAATTGTTTCACAGGTAAAAACTGTCGAACTCTGGAAACTCCGTCACCACATCTCAAACATCTTCCCTTTGGGTACTGTTTGCACAGCAGCAAGAAAAGAGGGTTGGGCCATACAGCTGAGACCAGAGTCACAAACTCTGCAGGCTTTGTTTATCTGTGAACCAACACTCTCCTGCTACTATTCAAATACAGCTTTATTTGAACCCTATCCTCTTTTACTGATGTCAAATAAAACTTAGTTTATAGAGCAAGCCATTTATACAGTCTCTCCAACATGGTCTCTCTCATGTACAGGCAGGTTGGAATCCGGATCCAAGGTAGGATCAGAGTATTTAGAGAAGCTGGGCCGCGTATGGATTCTCTCATGCTTAAGAAGGCCTGAACTTTGTTTGAACCTTTTCCCACACTGGGAGCATTTGTATGGTTTCTGCCCTGTGTGGTTTCTCTTATGTCTAGTGAGGCTAGACTTGTTACTGAAGGTGTTCCCACAGTCTGAGCATCTGTAAGGCTTTTCTCCACTATGGATCCTCTCGTGTTTCACAAGATTTGAGCTCTGGGAAAAGCGTTTCCCACAGATGGAACAACTGTATGGGGTCTCTCCTGTGTGGGTTCTCCCATGGACCAGGAGACTGGAGCTCTGCTTGAAGCTTTTGCCACAGTCTGAGCAAATATATGGCCTCAGGCCTGTGTGATTCCTCATATGCCTGATTAAACTTGAGCTCTGGCTGAAACGTTTCCCACAGTTTAAGCAGCAGAACGGCTTTTCTCCGGTGTGCTTCCTCTTATGTCTTGTCAGGCTAGATTTATTACTGAAGCTGTTCCCACAATCTGAGCATTTGTAGGGTTTTTCTCCCGTGTGAGTCCGGTCGTGGGTGAGGAGGGCCGATCTTTTCTTGAAGCCTTTCCCGCAGTCAGCACACTTGTATCGTTTCTCAGTTGCTTTGGGTCTCTCATGATCCATTAGGCTCGACTGATCACCAAAACTTTTGCCATATATCGAACAGTAATGGGGATCCTCTCTTGGGTAGATTCTTTCATCCTCATCACCTTCTGGAAGAGAGAATTGTAGTATCAGTCTTTATGTAGGCCTGGGGCTAATACCAATTAAAAAATGCCCTCCATAAAATGACCCTTTTCTCAAGTAATTCTAAACTATGAGTTGTTAAAGAAGGACATAATAGACGCAAGGAAATCTATCACTTCCTACAACGCTGCCTGTGCCATTTCCTGATATATTCAACTTTTTAAACAAATGTCAAAATCTTGTGTCATGACCAAACTTCAAGAGAGCTCACGTGTGTTTTCCTGTGAGCATCTAAGAATACAGCTTGAAAGCCAAGCTCATCCCTCAGCTCAGGAAAAAAGTATATCCCCTGATCTACCATAGCTGTGATGGAATTGATTATCTACGAAGCGGGAGGTGAAATGACAGAATGCAACAGAGCATCAGGTTCTCAGGAAGGAGGGAGCACATTGATTGAAGTCAGGCCCAGTCCAAGAACACCAGGGAAACAGTCCAGCCCAGTTCATTTCTTTTATTGCTTACACCATATAGACAGAATCTTGCCAGACTAAATCTGTACTACTTTAACCTAGTGGATCCTGGGAGATTCTAGGGAGTGGCTATCCTAACTCTCTTCCTCTTCCCGTGCTCCTGCTCCGGACTGTGCTGCCTCTTGTGTCCTCCCTCCTGGCATGTGCTCCCGTCTTCCTGAGGACTTGGTGCTCTACTGCATTGTATCACAATGTCTGTCCATTTTCACTTGGTATCCTAAACCACTCACAGCCAACCTCCTCTCCTTCCCGCCCCCACCCCCGCCACCAAATTTGCCTAGCAAGGTGGCTACTAGGAAAAACCAGCATGAGATTGGAACCCTGAGGAGAGATCAATCTTTCTGGAAACATGGCGCCAACGTGGCCTCCAAAGGCTGCCTCGTCTTCACTGTGTCGCCAAGGAGTGCATGAGCTGAAGGAATGCAAGGCAGTGACAGCCTTCTTCAGCTCAGCATGGCACAAATGGCCTGGATCCTGCTGCTGCTTCTTAAAGCATCGATTCCTGCAATTAATCGCTCCCCAGAAGTGGCTTCCCAGGGAGCATTTCCACACGATCTATGCTGAGCTCAAGAGAGCAAGTGAGGCTGCAGAAATGCAGGGGAAATGTTTCCAAATCAAGTCCTCCTGGAAGTGGGGGAAGAACCCCATTCTCTCTGCGTTGAGCCACAAATCTTGAGGAGAAAAAGCTCTCACCCAGAACAATGATGCTGCCAGAATCTTCCTCCATAGCAACTCCACATCGAGCGTTTGGGGCTGACTCCAGAAAGCCACTTGCTCCTGTCGCATGTGAAGAAAGACAGTCAAAATAATAACATTTTAAACATGTTAATTTGGGGGAAATAGTCTGCACTGATTTGAGGAGCCTAGTATTTTTCCTGGCTACTCTATGCTCCAAGGCTAAAACTCCACAAGCTGGCCTTTTAGTTCTGTAAAGGCTACACATTATCAACAGAGTTCAACCCTGATCACTTCCCAGTTTTCTCCATTGCTTTTTTTAATTCTGGGTAAGCCCAACACGCTTTCCACTTAGAACTGTAAGTTGGAAAAGGCTTTTTAAACCATCAATTTAACAATGAAGCCACAGCCTAAGAACAGGGGTGTCCACAGGGAGGTCTAAAAGTAAAAATGGGGGCCACAACAGCACCATCAAAGCCTTCCCTCTTTTTTACTTGGGGATACCCCTGTTCCTAGGAAGGCTTTTACCACAATAAATCTGTCCCCTTTAAGAACCTTTAAAGCCCAGGTAGATAGTGTTTAAGAGCGCTGGACCAGGTTCAGATCTTTTTCTTTTTTCCTCCTTACTTTATATTAGTTTGTATTAGTGTTTACCTTCTTGTTTAAAAGTTTCAATTATAAATATAAATTTAAAATATTTGGGGGAAGGGGCACAACTACCACTTTGAAGGCAGGCTATATAGAACATTTACGGACAACCCATAGTTAAGACTATTGTAGCAAAATTCGAGTTAAATACACAATGGTTCAAGCTCATTACACAATACTACTGATATAGTAATACTGTATATTGTGTATACGTATACAATAACGCTGTTCCAGCTTACATACAAATTCGACTTAAGGACAGACCTTGGTAACGGAACTCATTCTTAAACTGGGGACTCCCTGTATATACTAAATTTATCATGTTATCAATAAATTTGGAAGTCTCATTACAAGTCTCCCATCAATCTAGAAGCTTCTTTTGGGCTCCAACACTTTCTCAGACCTAAGCCAGCCATTACCATCATCCCACGACAGTAAGGCCAAAGTACGCATATTTTAGAAACTTGCTCATCCCTTTAACCCCTCTCTTTTTTAAAAAAAGTAGTCTACCGCCCTTGTTTTTACCGGACCTCTCTCGTAAGGACCCCCAGAGTTGATTTCATATCTAATTAGGTTCTGCACCACTTTTCCTGGCCTTTGAGTGGCCTATTGAAGCCACCCTTTAAACAATAAGTGGGCAGGACAAAAAAGTTTGGTGAAAAATTCAAATGTATTTCAACATCAGTAAAATCAAAATTAAACAAACTATTTAAATAGGATGGCTCCCTGGGTATTGAATTGTCCCCTCTTCTTGTACCCAAGAGAGCTCTGCTGGATCAGGCCAAAGACCTGATAAAGTCCACATTCTGGGTCCACATTCGGTGTCATCTAGTGGCCAACCAGAAGAGGAACCAGCCTTTTACACAATTCATTCTAGCAACTATTGAAACTTGTCAACAACTGTAGAGAGGCTGAAAAAATTGCACCCAAGGCTTTGGAGTATTCCCATGGCCTAGTCCAGTGGTTCTTAAAGTGTGGTCTGGGGACCCCTGGGGACCCCTGGAGACCATTTCAGGGGGTTTGCAAAGTCAAATAAATAGTTTAAAATTTCCCAGTTTTAATTTCTAATACAGTAAATATTGATATAACCAACATAAACCATCATCCCCTGGACCTTAGATTGGCTGTGACCCTCCCCGCCTTTAGGAAGTGGCAGTGGTGGGAACTTTACAATGGCTGTGTTGTGTTGACATAGGATGAATTCTGCCACTGTTCATGATTTTCTGTTTTCAAAATTTATTATGGATTGTTTTTTATATGTTTGAATATGGGTTTTTAATTTTTTTATTATTATTATTTTTACCTGTTGTGAGCCGCCCAGAGTCACTGAGATGAGACGGGTGGCCATACAAATCGAATAAATAATAATAAGCCAAAGCTCTTTGGGGTCCTCAGTCCTTTTTTTAGAATGTAATTCCTGAGAACCCCTGACCTAGTCTAATCCAGCCTGGACCCCCTATTTTTAGCTATAGCTTCAGCACCTAGAGCAGGGTTCCCCACAGTGGCCAATATTGACTTCCAAGGGTCAATGGGACTATCCAAGGGGTCAGTAAATGTCTGGGGGTCAATAGGTAGTTGATAAATGAGGGAAGGTCGATTGGGGTTAATTAATCTTTTGGGGCCCCTGTAGAGCTCCATGCCAGTCCCTGGTGCTGTAGGTGAGGGGACTAGTGGCGAGACAGCGTGACCCAGGGTTGGATAGACATCCACCAGTGACAGCAGCCTTGAGTTGTCTCTATTACTATTCTTTGTAGTACTATCAAAGTAGTATTTATTAAATTATTTTCCTATAATAAATGTTTCAGGGTGATGAACAATCCGTAACTTCATGAAGGGGTCGATGAGCTGATGGGTTTGGGGACCCCTGACTTGGAGCTCTTTCAGCCACCCGGCCAGTGTGCATCCCACCAACTGGGTTAATATCCTAAGCATGGACCAGCTAACGGTGGAAAAGCAGCCACGTTGTCTGGACGCAGCCGTATTTACTCAAAAGCAACTCCCACTCAGCTCAAGAGGACTTGCACCCAGAGGCGTGACTGGTGACACACAGCCTCAATTCACTGCATAGCGCTAACACACAACTAAGTGTGCGCAGGTGTTGCTTCCACATGACACTATGAAAACAGACCAGAATTTGCAAGCTTAAATTCAACGGGAGGCGATGGTGGGGGGAGAGAAACAGAGCAGCAAGGAAAAAAGGGTGGTGGGAAGGCTCAGTGAAGACCCTGCTCCAACCCAGCAGGAAATTCTGCATGCTGCACTCTTCCTTCTCCCTCCCCCTCTGCTTTACCTCTTCCACAATGCACTCGTCGGGCCGTTTCTTCGGTCGACGCGTTTCTCCTCTCTTCTTCAACGCCCCAAACACTTTGGGGGGAAAAAGCGAACAAACTTTTATAACTGGGCTAAGTCCAGCCCGTCCCACGCCATCTCCATCAGGGCAATGCCTAAAGAGGTCCAGCCTTCAGGAAGAAGAGGGGTGAATTTTAAAAAGCCGGGAGCCCGTAGAGACGCACGGCAGGGGAGAGAACATTAAGGGGCCGCTAATCCGGATTAAGCCATCTGAACCACAAGCGGACCTGGGTGACTTTCTCCTTCGCTTTCTCTCTGGGTTTCAAAGGCGGCTTTCCCCTTGCTTTCCGCTTCCTATCATGTGACCGAAGCCCTGCCAGGAGACTGGCAAGGGCAGGCCCAACTAATCAGCTGTCGGAGCGGATGGATGGATGGACGATGGATGGATGGACGGATGGCGGGGAACCGGGGATGTTCAAGCCGGCCGATCGCATGCTGCAAATCTTGCGATGTTTGAGCCATATAACGAGCTGCAGCATTCGTAATAAAAGATGTGCTCCTGAGCATATAAAGGGTGGCAAAAGAATTCTGAGCGATTAAGCAGCAGCGATTGATTACGGGCCATTAAGTCGTTGTCTTCTTAGACGGTGTTCTTCAACCTTGGCCACTTTAAGATAGGTGGACTTCAACTCCCAGAATTCCCCAGCCAGCCATG